CCTAACCGCTCGCCGCCGCTGCCGATTTCGGAGGCCACCGCTGCCGATTTGGCACAATTGCGATGTCCACGGCAACCATGATGGGTGCCATGCCTAGCCTGTTGCGCAGGCAGGGCACCAGCCGGCGACAAGGAGATGGAGTGTGCTTACAAGCAGATCGACTTCGTCTCAAGGTAAGAACATCATCGAATTGGGGGAAAAACATCGGTACATACCGATCTTGGATGCAATCCACGTGTTCTTTTCCCTTCGATCTTAAAACGAAATGAACAAGATTTGGGAGAACTACTGTTGCTTTTATTGATCTCTTAGATATATATATATATATATATATATATATATATATATATATATATATATATATATATATACAAGTGAAGAGTCGCGTTGTATGGACGCCGTACGGACGTCGTACGGACGTGACTGTTCGGGAAAATGTAACTGTTCACTGGAACAATCTACTACCAAAGGGATATGCCCCTTCGTAGTGCTAACTGCTATACTAACTAACTGCTATCTGTTGATGAGATCACTGGTGTCTGTTAGGAACAGACACCGTTTCATAACATTTATTACAAAAGCTAATAGCAAAAAACCAATAGACGGAAACCAAAAGCTAGAAAAAACAGGCCCTAAGTCTAGCACATAAAGCACAATTAGACCAGTTTGTTGCTGCACTCATGATGTATTTCGTCTTGGCTACCGTTTCTGTAATACATTGGTTCATTTGGTGTGCTAGTTTTGACGGGTTTGTGGTCCATGTGTTGTGTTATGATGAATTAGTCCTACCTTAGTTGTTTAAAAAGGTTCGAACCAGCTTATAATCTTTCTCGTTACAAATGTAGCACTTCCTTTTACCCGAAAAATGATAAAGTATAAGAGATACGCTATATGTATGTGGATATGTTCCACGTGAGGAGTTGGCCATAAATAGACTTTTGAACAATTCATCTTCTCAAGCACGATGGATTTGAGTCCTCGTGTGATTTTTGGTTTCTTTGTTTTTCCTCCAATCCAATCCTGCTTCCAATTTAGTTGTGACTTTTTGTGCTCCTTAGATGACAAGCGGCCTGTTCGGTTAACTGGTTCGTATCGTTGCTGATTCGTTTATGTAAGAGAGAAGTCCTGCTGGCTGGTTTATATGAACAGTGTCCATGAGAGGGGGCTGGCTAGCCCAGCCAGCCCCAGCCGAACACGCTGAAGGTCGTCTTGCGCTCATCTTGAGTCTGCACTTAAAGGGTGATGAACTGTCCTAAAAACTCAAGGGTGACGAACATTCAGACATTGATGATAGAAAAATGTTGTTGAAGTTACTCCAAGATTTCATCCCTAGAGAAGATATAGATCATCTTGATAATCTAAGATTATGCAACGGATGAACTGTTTTGTAATGCTCATATTACTACAAAAATTTATTAACTGTTCCTACGAGGTTTATTTTTTGAGAGGATTCTACGAGGTTGCCTCTGCGGAACAAAAGTTTTCAAAATCGAAAGGTTTCACATACGTAAAAGACTAAACAGATGCAATAATTGCACTTGAAAATGATGTAATGGAGACGATAGAATATAAATAAATAAATATTTTTATTTTGAGGAATATTAGGCTCTATTTGTCCATGTTGCTAATAGTTATTAGCAGCTAAAACTAAAAGTTAGAAAACTAGATCAAACAGGTTACCTGCTAATAGGTGTGCTATCTACTAGAAAAAAATTACTCTCTCCGTTCCCATTATAAAATGTTTTGACATAGTAAAAATATTGTATCTACAAAAATCAAAATATCTTATAATTTAAAATGGAGGAGTAACAAATTCTGTGCTGGTAGCCCATGGTAACTCTTAGTCTGTTAATTTAGGATACTAGCATCCAAAGAAGGCCTAGACGACTGATGCTTTTTTTATAATATATAAAAGTTAGATATCAGTAAGGAAGATTCGCACTTTACTCTTTATCATGAATACCTATTGCTTTTCTTAGTATACTACCTCTGACACGTAAAAGAGGGACACTTAGTTTTTCATTCTAAATCAAAGTATCTTATATTTGACCAAATTTATAATGAAGATTATCAACATTTATAGTACCAAATAGATTTACCATGAAAGTACATGTCATGATGAATTTAATAATATTTATTTGATATTATAATATTTAGTAAAATTTAAGATTTTTGACTTAGAAAAACTAGAATGGTAATAAATTTAAAATTGTTTGACCTAGGAAAAACTAAAATAACGGACGGAAGTATTATTATACGTACAAAAACATGCAATTATTTCCAAATATAGGCTCAATCATCTTACGGCCCTGGTTGCGTACGATTGGGCCCAAACGCCAGATCCACCCGGTCCAAATAGCCCCGAATGGAAATTGAGCACCATTGCATCTATAGCCTTTTTCTACTTTGGCATCACATCAACGTATAGATTGATTATTCTCTCTATCGAATCGACATTTTATCCAACGCTAGCTATTGCTGCTTGGCGTTTCCTTTGACCTCGTTCTTGTCCACTAGCCTGTATGGAGTACGGAGTACATAGTACCGATGGAGTGCAAGCGAGCTCTCGTCCTTTTCCGCACACGTTGTCCAAGTTCATTTTGGTGTGGACTGCAGACGTTCACCTCGTCTTCGTTCACTTCGCTGCAAGAAAAGGTCCCAGAATATTACCACTTCGTCTTCATTTGAGGTTCGTGTCTCACGTTTCCCAGGGGCCACCAGTCTAAACAAACCCTGAAATGAAGTGTAACCAATCTGGATCAACCAGTCGACACGTATATATTGCAAAGGTCTTACCTCTAGAACCATCATGCATTGTTCAACCTTGAAGAATTGACACGAGGAATTGGTGATGTCAATCATCCAATTCAATGCCAACATTCAATCTTGTAAACTTGTGGCAAATAAATTTGCAGACAGCAAACAAGCATAGGGCCCCAGGACTCCAGCATTAGCTATTAGCAGCTGAAACACAAATCAAAAGTGTGCGTTATAAGCTTTACATGGCATCTTTTCGATGCAGATTTTCAGAATGATAAGATTGCCACCGGTAGAATAAATTCAGCTCTTACCTAGAAATGATGTACTAACTTTAGCAGCATTTCCAGCTGGCTGGTGAACAATCTAGAGAGAGCAGAGGGAGGACCAACGGCTGGCATGGCAAGAGTTCATCCATAGAAGCTGGGTCTGGGTGTAGGCTGTTTGCAGTGCGGGGAAATTCCCTGGTGCCTTTTGCCCCCTTGGGATGTCAGAACTTTCAAAATTCAAAGGTGATCTTCTACCTTTCTGCTTGCAACGTCCTGGTGGAGATGCCCATCTGATCTGCATGACAGTACCTTATTCCAAGAGACTGTTAGACGTTGAGTATATTCCCTTCAAAAGGGTTTTGCGTTCTCACTGCAAACTTGCATGTCTTCAAGCAACTTTGCCAGAGTACACGTGCAAACTAGTAGTTATCTAATAATCAAAAACCAGATTGCACTCTGTGCAAGAGTGTAGTTGATTGCTGGAAAAAAATGAGAACCCTGATGCATATGCATGTAATTGATTTCCATACATTTGTTGCTTACAGTCCAGTATATAGTTTTATATGCTATTCAGAAAAAGGTGAAAGAAGCCTGGGACAGTACGGTGTATTTATTATGAAACCGATGACAAAAGTGGAGTATAAGGTATAGGATGTTTTTTATATAGAGTATAAGGTACACGATGTAGCAGGCAGTGGCCCTCACCTTTTATTCCCTGCTGGAAGGAAAAAAAAACATATCTGCATGAATTGTTTATGGCAGTTGCAGATATTGACGCTTATGTGGAGGGGCGAGGCAGAATGTGGTGTTCTGGCTGGAACAACTTGAATGCAAGCTCCATGGTATTGATATGACTATTCTCAGAAGTTCTAAATGCCCATTCGGGCCATCGAAAGTGTAATTTCTTCTTGCATAGACATTTTAAATGCTGTGAGGACTCTGGAATAAGTCCATCCGATGATATTAAGACATTGATGCATCGACTCACGCCAGGAGATGCTTCTTTGGTTCCTATTTGGTCTCAATAATCCTCTACATGTATACATATGTATTCTGCGGACGAGGGACAAAGTAGGAATCAACATGTGAATATATGACAATGCCACAGGTATGAAAATGGAAACACATATTAGAACATAAAAATAGAAATTTATAACTGAAAATGAACAGAGAAGCCATGCATGTATGGGGACTATTGTAGATGAGAACATGAACTAGGGTCATATGGAACAAGTCCATAGAATAGTTTTCAATCAAAGCTGAAGAGTGAAGTGCTCGATACTTCAATTGCCGCCAAGGAAAAGCAAAGAGAGAGAAGAAAGAAGAATGCTAATGACCTGACTCTACCTCCCCAGGTTTCGTACTGCTGCATTGTGATGCTGATCCAAAGAATCTTTCTCCATCTATGTGCTCACCACTCAGAGAAGTATCGTTGAACATGAAATGACACATCGTGAACCTTTGGCCAAGCCCAGGCAAGGTGCCATGCAGGGGAGGCTAGCTCTTAGAGCTTTAAACATACCTCCTGATCTTTGGAGAATATATGCATGAAAAACTGACCATAGATATCATTCACAAAGATCGTACAGCTTCAACTACAACTAGGCCATCTGGAGGTTGATAGGTGCTCTACATGTCCATGCAACAAAGAAGCAACTATAAGGGAAAATGATAATATAATATTAAAAGTAAGATTCTATCTTCTTATAGTGCTCAATGGAATGTTGTGAACATAAAGTGGATGCTTCACAACTAATATAAATTTACGAAGAACTGCTCTGCTCTTCCCACAAAAAAATATATCATTTGATAGCCCTTCCACCACACTATACTCCACCTAGTTGTGGATCAACGAAGCTCTCTTCTATAGCCATCAACTCAAGTTTATACTTAACTATGTCAGGAGGCAGGGATCCTTTGGCATTGAGCCAGGTAATTGGTGATGTGTTGGATCCTTTCATAAAGTCAGCAACAATGAGGATTAATTATGGTGACAAGGAGATCACAAATGGCACTGGACTACGAGCATCTGCTGTGCTCAATGCACCACATGTTGAGATTGAAGGCCACGACCAAACAAAGCTCTACACACTTGTAAGTGACCACAATAGATTGTAGGATCCTGATATGTAGTGTGCATGTGCTTTCGTATTGCATTGTGTAAGGTGAAACGTGACTTTGATTGCAAGAAAAGGTTCAACTAAAAAGGTAACTCTCATGTGAGAGTATAACCAGACGAGTTCTCAGAGTAATCCATGCACCCAAACTCTAATTTATTACTCGTGTATTTTCTCTTTCAGAAAAAAAAATACAACATAGACATACTTAGAATAAGCGATAAAATTTGCACAAATGTTGGTTTATATAAGTACGTATAACTTTCAACAGTTATGAACTATTGATTAGGTTGAACAGAATGTTGTTCTGAGAACAGAAACAGAGTATCTCACTGGATGGTATTTGTTGGTTGTACAAAGAACACCACACAGAATCCTTTTGCTGATGACCAAGTTCATATACCCTACATACTATTTTAGAATATGCTTCTGCACCCTATCTTGCTTGTACTCTCTGGTATGGCCTTACAAGTACATCCGTTGCATGCACGCTCTCATGTTGTTGCCACTTCCTGTGAACATTCTCTAAATGCATGGTAAAAAAAACCAAGGAAAGTCACAGATAAATTACTCCCACACCCGTACCGCTCTAGCTTGCTCACAGACACATTGTGCACGCACAACATATGCTGCACATGCACAACATGGCTGTGAGTGCTAAACAACTTGTGCTTTATCACAACTTATGGCTGGTTTGGTTAAAAAAATTCACCTTCCAGTAAGATCATCAAAAGCACTCTCTTTTTTAACCCCCTCCCATTTGCTCTCTAGAATTAAGTCTCGGCTCCTTTATAACACATGAAATACAAATGCTAAAGTTCGAACTTACCTCTTCTAAGGTTATGGTGGATCCTGATGCACCAAGTCCAAGCAAACCAGAGTACAGGGAATATCTGCATTGGTGAGCTTATTATATTTGTTATTCAAGTACTGTGTTGAGTTGCATCTTTCCCAAACTCTGGATAGCCCACCTTTCCAAAAGAAACAAATGAATGCTGCTTGGCACATTGTTTTTATGTTTGTAGTTCAAGAACCCCTTACCTAGATAACCTGCAGGATTGGATGCAGCCCTCTCAAAAAAGGAGGGGGGTGTTTCTTTTCCACCCATCAACAATTCAACATCTGAAGAACTCTTGTTATGTATGATATTGGGTAAGAAAGCACAGTTTCTGCGATAGTGTAACTTTTGTTTTCTGTCACCATAGTTCGCTTAACCTAAGTCTCGTTGTTCAGACTGTCATTTTATTATCAACAAGTATTAGTTTCCAGTTGAATTGATATCTGTAGCATTGAAATAAAATGAGTAATACTCCCTCCGTTCCAAATTGTAAGTCATTTTGGCTTTCCTAGATTCATAGCTTTTACTATGTATCTAGACTTAGTGTATATCTAGATGCATAGCAAAAGCTATGTACCTAAAAAATCTAAAACGACTTACAGTTTGGAATGGAGGGAGTATTGCAGAAATAAAATGAGTAATATTGAAGATATTTTACATTATAATTATAATAGTTTCAAAATTCGTCAAGAAGATATCTTACAAACTCTGTATGGACAAGGTGCTCTGAACGGTGCTATATAAAAATCTGTCAATTAATTATTTCATGGATGAATTAAAGAGAACAGTCATCGACCCAAATTCTAACCTGACTACTTTAATATTATAATTCTCAGTGGCTACAATTATCAAACAAAATAAGGTAAACTGCTATAGCATTTAATCAGATAAGGCATTAGTTACAAGATCAACAATTAAAGATATTGCATATGCATGCATCAACCATCAAGTTAAAGTTTTACACTTGTTTTGATAGTCTGAAACTATGGGGATAAAGGCTTAAACTGCTTAGACTAGAGTTCAAAGAACTCATCAAAAGAACCAAGTGGTATTGCTACTGCTTATACTATGGTGACACCAACTTATATAGATAGCATAATACTTAGCACACTCAAATGAAAATTATAATTGCTTAATTTACAAGGAGAATAATGTAACATGATCGCCATTTGCAGCAACGAAGTATTTCATTTGATTAATTAATCAAATTCTAGATTGCTACTTGCTACTAGGAATCAACCACCATAGTGTATATAAAAATCCATATAATAGAGTATATTTATTAGTGTGACTTGTGAATTAGCACATCAGCTGTTGTTAATAGAAAACACCCAAGTTTACCTCTTACATGAACATCAATCTTCCAAATTCATGTATGTTTTACATAGTTGCATATACTTAATTTTAGCAATTAAAGTCATTTACTTAATTATCTACATAGTGCATAAGTAATTTGGATTGCAATCAAAGATCTAAAGGCAGGCCCTTGTTTATTTTCTACAGGTTGGTGACAGATATACCAGAGGCAAGAGACATACGTTCCGGTGGGTAACGCCCTACGTAACCTCTTCTTACTTAATTAGCATTTAACACACAGATCTTTAAACTTTTTTTAGGCTGCATCTTCAAACATTATTGTTGCACACAAAGCACAAACTGTTGGAGGTAACAGAGAAATAATCAGCCAGGGCTTACAAACCCAGGCGACTGCTCTTTCATATATAGGAGATAAGTAGCACATTGATTACATTGATGGCTCATTAGAGCATTAACTAAACAGCTAACTGCCTGGGTACTTGCACAGTCACTTGTGCTGCCCAAGGCCTTAATAGCAGAAACATAATTAAGCACAGATAACTAAGTGATAACTGGGAGCAGGACTTAACTTCTACACAAACACCTCCAGATTCATGTTCTATCATATTTAAAAATAAATGATATGTGGCATTATCCACTTATTAATTTAAACGTTTCACCTGCACCTTGCTCTTGGAAATGTAACAAATCATGTGGTCAGTTAAATGCATGTCAAATGGCAAAACATCTGATGACATTAAAGGATTTAAGAAACTATGGAAGAACCACTATTGCAAATGTAACATGTAGAATTTGACAATAATTGCTATGAAAGAATTACAAGGCTTTGATGAAGAAACTGCTTTGGTGAGCAAATGGTCATATGAATTTCATTTCAAAGATGCTATGTAACACATCATTTACAGTAAAACCTTTATGCATTTATCTTATGTTGTGTGTATGTTATTATGCCTTGCATGGCATCCATGCTTAGTATTACTGATGATGTCGATATTTGAAGAAAGATGCATGCATGGACTTATAGTAAGTTCAAGAATTTTGTACTGAACTAAATCTGTCAAAATTATTCCCATACTAGTTGCAATGGTGTCATGTGAAATATCAGAATCTGACATCTGCATCAAATACTATCTGGCCAAATCCATGCTCGGTGAATTTAATAGGTTAAAGAAAAAAGCTGACATTATCTTTTCATCAGACTTTGGTTTGGTTCAATCTCCTTAATTGCCATAGTAGCTACCGCTTGCCTCTTTTGAATGCAACTTCATAACTCTCCTACCTTTTGGATTAAGCATCATTCAGCAATTGAGAGAATAGGATTAGATAATCTTATTGAAGACTAAACTTACAGAGAATCATTTTAATACTGCATACCTATGAATCAAATGCAAAGCACTTTAGAGAGAGGGGGATGAACCCCACTCTAATATGTGACTGCACCTATTTTGATGCAGGTTAAGCAGTTGCACGGTTGTTATTTGTCCAAAGCACCTCAAGTTGAGGATCTGACATCATGGTATTTTCTGTGGGCCCCACTTGATCACTTTAGTCAGTGTGGCAAGACTTCTACAGGAAATCAAGTAGATGGGTATTGTTACCTGCTTCATTGCTTGACAATATATAATGCTCAACCAATGGTATCTTTTGTGTGGGCCCACAGAAATAAAGGATGCACCTTATATTAAATCTGTGAGACAACCTTCAGAATGTCAAGTATTAGTACTTCCATTCCAGACAAAAATGAAATTCAAGAATGATTTGTGTTTAAATTAAGGAGGTGTTTGGGACTGCTCCACAAACTCTGCTCCACAAACTCCACCGTGGAGCAGCTCCACAAAAAACTGGAGTTTGTGGAGTACCTCTTTAGGTGCTCTTACAACTCCACCCTTTTTCCTGGAGCAGAGTGCGTGGAGCTGAAACCGTTTGGCTAAAAAACGTGGAGCGGAGCTGAAAAACGTAGAGCGGAGCAGTCCCAAACACGCCCTAAATATGAGACTATAAGGTGTCAAAATGTTTCCTGACCTAGATGTCTCCTCCAGGAAGCTTTCTACTAGATCTCGAAAGTACTATAGATATTAGCATGATTGAAAACATATTAAAGGTTTTAGGTGGCATTTTATTAGGAAGAAAATAGGCACCAAAATTTGCCTCGACGAGGACTTGAACCTAGGTGGTCTGGGCATACATCCACACGCTTGACCAACTAAGCTAGCTCAGCTTCCTTGTTATCAATTACACTACTTCTGTGACAATTTTTAAAATTTCACCAGGGACTTCTTGTAAGTCAGGAAGCATTACTGCAGAGTCATAAACATATCTTTAGCAATGCATGGTGCATGCACAATCTAGCAGCCCAATCCTCTTATCAGCTTACCAAGTTCTGTTTTTCTTAGGGTGGCAAATAGAATAAACTTCTGACTGCAAAAAATTTGTTAAGAAGATTTAAAACAAATAAAATAAAATTAGCACATCATAATCATAATAGACCTCATGCATTTTGAGAATTTATGATTCACACTTGATGAAACCTAAGCACTACAAATGATCTCTCTCCCTCTCTCTCTCTGTGTATGCTCAATAAAAGGGATATTCGAGATGTACATAATATATGGTCAACCTTGATATTTACTTTAGTTTATATGATATAAGGGTCTACACTTAATATGCTATAGGTAGCAATAACTTCATCATCCCAGCCTATTGTGTGTGTGTGCGCGCGTTTTCTTTTTGGGTGTGTGGGATGTGTTGACTTTCTTTTTTTCTTTAAAAGTGTGGGGGGGGGGGAGTATAGTGCCAACTGAACACAATGTGAAGAGAGCAGGTAGTGAAAAACAGTTAGAAAAGTCATTGGTACAAAATGGCTAACACTAGCCTTCACCTTACAAATTACAGCAAAGCATTCTAATAAGGAATACACGCTTTTTCAGGCAATGAAATAGTTCCCTATGAAAGCCCGAGGCCACCAGCTGGAATTCATCGAATTGTTTTTGTGCTATTCAAACAGCAAGCAAGACAAACAGTTTATGCACCAGGATGGCGGCAAAATTTCAACATCAGAGACTTCTCAGCAATTTACAATCTTGGAGCACCAGTTGCTGCATTATACTTCAACTGCCAAAAGGAAAGCGGTGTTGGTGGCAGAAGGTAGGACAGAAACTTTATATTTTAGAAAAATACAGCAGTAGATGTTAAATAGACACTAAATCACACAGATCCAAAAGGGTCCTCTCTCTAGATAGATGACAATGGTTGAGGATTGGGCATTAACATGTCATCCAACACAAGCACAAAGTCTAAAAAGGTTGAAGTATCAAAATTGAGGAATACTCTAAATCTAAAAGAAATACTTCTCCTCACATGATATATCCTTGGTTTAGAACAAATGCCTTTTAGGAGAGGAGTGTTCTTTCCTAAGTTGCTGCAGGCCATAAGCAAGCTATGTATCTCAGTTGGTGCCTCTAGCATTGTTTATAAAAATAAAAGGTCTCTTCCTAAGTCAAATGAGTGATGAAATGCTTGTTCATCACTTCAGACAATGGCTATTTCAAGAAATAAGTGATACAAGCCTATGAAAAATTTAAAAACAACACAAACAGTACAAACAAGACCACGTTCCGCCTCCTTGCTATATGCAAGAAAGAGGCACACATAAATTCACTATCACAACAACCCCTCCCTCTGTTTGTGCTCTTTCTACACTGACACGAGAAATCAGGCATGTTATTCTAGGAGAACAGTTCTGTTAGACATTTACCATTTCTTAACAATATTTTATGGTTGATTTAACAGGTTCCTGGGATCAAGCTGAAGAACAGATACAGAGAAACATCGACATCAAGGCAGTACCATTCACAATTCAGAAATTAATCCATAACACAGTTGAAACATGTGAGATGTTAGTTGACAGTTAAACTCTAGAGTAATTGACTCGTATCATATGAAACAAACACAGTATTTGGAGGTCATCTTCCTATGTTACCCACCTCAATAAAGATTACGATGTTCGTATTAGCAATTATGAGAAAAAGTGTTCACTTACAATAACTCATGAAGGAGACCGTCACATGGACGCGGCCATCCTGCGTGCTCAGATAGCGCACCATCTGAGAACTAGCAGATTGACCCGGCCTGCTAAGGGCCTCACACACCCAGCGTCCATTCCAACTAGGATACGCCAGGCAACGCGCCTATGAAACACAACCGGCGAGATGCGAACCAAAGTTTGCTTTGAACCACGCGACCCCAGCCACCGGGTGCACGCCGCCGCGCCGCTCACCGTTTGGCACCGCAGCGGTTCCGAATCGACAGCAGTATAGCGAGAAACGAGAGAATCAGAGCGGTGGAGACTGGAGGAGACACATTACCGTTGAGAAGAAAGAGAATCGCGGCTGGACGACGACGAGTCGAGCGGTCGAGGCGAACGGAGCCCACTCCGGTTGCTCGTGGAGAGCGCGGGAGGCGTAGCAGCAGGCGGTCGCGTTGGTGCGCGTCGGGCGTCGGACCGCGCCTGTTCTCCGCCGTACCTGGGCGTTGGAGCCCATTCCTCCTAGGAGGGGAGGGAAGGGGACGGTGGCCTACGATGTCGACGCCGACGAGGAGGTGGCTCTTGATGCTGACGAGGGGATGCGAATAACGGAGCGTGGGCTGTGTTGTCAAAAAAAAAGAAAAAACGGAGTGTGAGCTGGGCTCCTCGGCGAGGAGGTCAGATTGCGAATAAAGAAGTGTGGCTGGGCTTATCCTCCGGAGTGTAGTTGGGCCTAATCGGGGTGAGTAGAGAGGAGGATTGATAACATGTTTGGGCCCCGCGATGGATATCCACAAGAACATCCCCAAGGAGGCCTGTTTAGACTAGATTACCAAAATTTCCTGAGCAAATCCCGCTCTTCAGAACAAATTAACCCCAAATCCGTGTCCCTTGATTAGTCTTGCAACAACACGGTCATGCTCAAAAGCTGATGTTCCCTCTTGGCAGCCACCAGGTGAGTAAGCTGGAGTGACGGATGAGCATGTGTTGATGTGTGTGGCTCCCAACAGGTTGCTCTGGAATAAATCTTGTATGGTGTGGTTCTTGGAATTTGGGTGAACTTTAATTTAATCTAAGCGCTATAAACGTTGAATTCTATCCTGATGCAATGCAATGGGCAGGGGTTAATTAAGTTTGATCCCTATAACTATTAGGCTACGTTAGGTTAGCCAGAAATAAGCCTGCTAGGAACCATGAATCATTCCTAGGAACCATTATGGCTAGGAATCATTCGCAGAGGGACCGAACGAGGCCTTATAAAGAAAAACAACGTGCTACAATGAGTTACGAGAAGAAAAAAAGAACTACCACTTGCCATCAAATAGAAGAGATTATAACTTCAAATTGATGAAGGTTCCGGTATAAGGATCAACTTGGGCGTCCATCATAGTCGACACCATAGCTCATGACCATTTTCTGAGAAATGATAATAATATAAGTCGGTCAACAATTTACACTAAGTGATGTCGACCATCATGCATTTCTAGCCAAAGGTACCAACCATCTATTTCGTTGGCTTGCAAGAACAAAAATTGATGTTGTACTCCCTCCGTTCCAAATTATAGTTCGTTTGACTTTTTTTATCCTCAGTTTGACCACTCGTCTTATTCAAAAAAATTGTGCAAACATAATCAAATTTAAGTCATTCTTGAAGAACTTTTGTTAATAAAGCAAGCCACAACAAAAGAAGTGATATTTTGCACAAATTTTTGAATAAGATGAGCGGTCAAACTTGGGATTAAAAAGTCAAACGAATTATAATTTGGAACGGATTTAGTATTAACAACAGCAAATGCAGCACAAAGGTCAACTAACAATCCTTCCTGCTAAAAGATACATCCCTCCTTGATTCGTTGACCACTGCCCTTATATTAACAAAAATGGAAGCGTGCACAAGGAGAGTTTAGCATATGATGCCGGTGATGCCAAATGTTAGATAGCTCTCTCGGTCTATCTCAAAAGATTATAATTCTCGCTATTTCGAAAAGTTAAACAATATTAAATTTAACTAAATCTATATAAAGAAATACTAACACTTAGATACTATAAAAAAGTATTATAAGATTAATCATGAAATATATTTTCATAATATACCTATTTAAAGTTAAAAATATTAATATTATTTTATTTAAATTTAGTTAAATTTCAAAAGTTTGAATCAATCTAAACGAGGAAATCCAAATATATCCTCATCAGGATGGAAATAAATATTCTCTAGTATCATGTTGATCTAGGAGAAACTTTCCAAAGTTGGTATTTTTTTTCTTTTTGCGAAGAACTCCAAAGTTGATTATTAAGCACAAAGGTTGGGATATTTCAACTGGATGCAGGACATTCTCATTAGCTCAAGTTGCAAAATCCGTCATACTACAACAAAAAGGAGGTGATTCAGAATTAATAAGACAGTTAAACAACTGAAAATTCTGGAAAGATAAGAAGGCTCAAAATATATCTTGGAAAAAAGAGGAAAATATATGTCGAATAAGATAAATACTACAAAATTCCGTTTTGCTTTATTTCTTGGGATTGAAAAACATACACCCATGCATCTTCTTTTTTAAGCTGGACATAACATAGTACTGAAAATTAGTACTCGGATGGAAAATGATTCGTTCAATCAAAAACGAAGTAAGGCGGTGTTTAGTTGGACAAAGTTTGAAAACTTTGCACAGTAAAGATTCTCTACTGTAGCATTTCGTTTGTATTTGTGAATTATTGTCCAAACATTGACTAATTAGGCTCAAAAGATTCGTCTCGCAAAGTTAAAGCAAACTGTGCAATTAGTTTTTGATTTCGTCTACATTTAGTACTCCATACATGTACCACAAGTTTAATGTGACGGAGAATCTTCTTTTTATATAGTGCACTTTTCAGGAGTTTGGAGGAACTAAACAAGAGCCAATAATTCCGTTAACATTCCTACCAAAATTTTGTTCATGTTCAAATAGCGCTTGACCAGTTGAGAGCAACCCGCGCTGGAGCGCCTCAGCGGCGCCGGGGCCCCACAAGCAGCGATGCTGACCAGCTGGTGTATATATACGTATATCTAAGTATAATAATATTATAAAATGAAGTAAATAATTGCACACGCCGTCGCTGGTTTGTTCGCGTTCGTCGGACACTTCGAACGGACAACAGAGAGAGGGACAGTGGACAGAGGGAGAAAGCAAAGCAATGGCGCCGCCGGCGAGGTGGCTGCGGCGGGAGGTGTTCGTGGGGCTCGCGCTGGGCCAGTTCGTCTCGCTGTTCATCACCTCCACCGGCTTTGCCTCCTCGGAGCTCGCTCGCCGAGGTACGCTGCGCCGCCGCTGTCTTTTTCTCTTCCCCTGCGCCGGTAATGATGTCCTTTGCAACCTGTATCCTTCCTAGGGTAGAACTTCTTGGCGGACCAGCACTGCTCCAAAAATACTGGATCTTGTTATCGTTCTGAACATAAAAGGCATTCTTTTTTTCAGTTAGCTGTGTCTTAAATTGTGCCGTGATTTTGGTTCACTGGTTCTTCATGTTAGGCTGAGACCTGACATTTGGCTCCTGTAGCTTGGACTGCCATGTTTGTCCCATTTCTTTCTGTGTTCAAAAAAAAAAACAAAATTGTATGACCATGTTCAGATGACAAATGGTTGAGAACTGTGTGGATTGTAAAATTCTGAAGATAACTGAATCATGAGGGTTTATTTTTTTTCAGGTGTCAATGCACCTACATCACAGTCATTGCTGAATTACATCCTTCTTGCACTTGTTTATGGTGGAACACTGCTATACAAAAGGCAACATATGACGGTATGTCTGGATGCTGCTTTTCCAACACATGGAAATGTTTGAAGGCTACTTGGGTAAATTCTTAAACTGGGGAAATTGAAGCTAATCTTAAATTTTGTTCGTTCTAAAAGATACTAATCATGAACTATTATTATCACTTATACTATACATCAATTCATACAGTAGAATAAAAAAATAACAGACTGAAGTAATGAAGTATTATACAGTCTCAAAAGTTATGATCACCTGTTGAGATGCTATTTTAGTTTTCAGGACACGAGAGCAATCTCTTTAGAAGTATTGTTCGGATCAAAAGTTGAGATGCTATTTTTGGGTTTGAGCACATGCCCAGCCTTTAAATTATTCCCATGGGCCAGAAGTTTGTGTGGTACTGTTTCTCTTGTATGATTGATGCATGTACAATTCACATTCAGTGTATGTGCCCTGCTAACCAGGACCAATGGCCACCAGTGTATTTATGCGTATTCTTATTCTGTTCTTTATAAGTTATTTGGGCTGTTCGTCGCCACAATGTTTATGTGATGATTCAATAATGTGAATGCTACTATCTAAGGAAAGCCTGAAATGTTTTCCACATTCTATTCTGCAGATCAAATGGTACTACTACTTGATCCTAGGCGTCGTTGATGTGGAAGCTAACTACATCGGTATGCACCTACCACTAGTGAATGTAAAGAAGGCATTTTTTTCAGAATTGTAGTTTCCTTTTCTTTTATTTTCTTATCTATATATTAAGTTGACTTGTTTTTTATTCACACAGTTGTGAAGGCTTATCAGTACACGTCCTTGACCAGTGTGATGCTCCTGGATTGCTGGTCGATTCCATGTGTCATTGTGCTCACTTGGATCTTCCTGAAGACAAAATATGGGCTGAGAAAGTTCATTGGTGTTGGAGTTTGCGTGGCTGGCCTTATTTTGGTCGTATTTTCTGATGTGCATGCTTCTGATCGAGCAAGTAAGAACACGCTTCATTTTTTCTACATATGGAATTGCACTATTACAGTTCCGACGTATCCTTAGTGCACAAAGTGTTTTTCTACTAAATACTTACCTCCGTTGTCGTTTACTTGTCACCGAATTTTACTGTAGCAATTTTGACCATACGTTTTTCTGCAAAAGATTTTTAGATACATCAAGTTTTCACATATATGATTCTTTATTGAACATACTTCATTAGTGTTATATACATTGAAGTATCTAAGATTTTTTTAGAAGAAAAAACAGATGGTTAAATTTGCTACAGTAAAAAGTTGCTGACAAGTAAACACAAACGGAGGGAAGTATCTGAGTTATAATTTGGTCATTTGTTTCTCAGTTGTTTTTTTGGTGTTTGTGGCCTTAGTAACGCATACTTGATTGTCTGATCTCACACCGAGGTCTGCTAGGATATGGCAAATATATAAAAAGTGCTGAATTTATCCCAAGATAGTAGTGTAATGTTCCAACTCAATTTTACCTTACACTTTGGACTGTCTTGCAGAAGGACCCAACCCCTTGAAAGGTGATTTGCTTGTCATTGGCGGCTCCATGCTTTACGCCATCAGCAATGTTACTGAGGTAAGAAACAACTACACTTAGCTCTCACTGATGACAATACAATTCTTCTTCAGCATACTTTCATCTGGACTTGATTCTTGTTAGCATACGCATGAGTTGATCGTTGCCACTTTTTTTCCATGTTTGTGAAATGAATATTTGTGTTTGTTGAACTTTGAAAATATTTCTGCAATTTTAACCCTCAAATGTCTCATTGTCTTTCCTAACATATAAATATATGTCTGGAAACTTCAAGGATTTCTGTCTACAACATTTCAGGAGTACTTTGTCAAGAAAAGCAACAGGGTTGAGGTGATGGCAATGCTAGGTGTTTTTGGAGCAATTATAAGTGGTATACAAATGTATCCTTCACCTCCTAAACCAATAGCTTAGCTTGATTCGATACTGAAAGCTTCTTTTTCTAGTTTCTTTTATTCATAGTAGTTTCTTCTGCAACACTTCTACATTTCTACTACAAACAAAAGAAATAGCTAGCTATTGAGAGATTCAAGTACATCAAGTCATCAACACTTGTGCTTGATGATTTGAACTAGCCAGATTTTTAGTAGTTCATATTTTCGCTGATATGCAATCCAGCAGTATAAACACTTACTCATAACTAGTTCTACACGATCATCTTTATTGAACCAACAGACCAACGGTACTATAAGAATATCCCTTCTAAAATAAGCTCATAAGTATGATTGTAGGAACGTGTGAAACAAGATTTTTTTTTACCTGAATGAAATAAGAATTCTTTTGACTTCACACTACTACATGTAATACTCCTAGCAAGAAAATAGAGTCCCACATTCCATTTCCTTGACAATGGTAAAGAAGCATACTTGAGCAAAAAGAGCTCAGATCGACTCACTGGACTGCTGGTGCGGTGAGTCTCCTTATATCTCTGTGCCTCAGGCCATAATTTGAGGTCAAGCATGTTCCATTAGATAGTCACCTTGTCAGTTATTATTCTTTTATTACTATTATGTACTTTTATACCTTTCAGATTCTTCCCTTCATAGGGTTTGCATTGGCAATGTTCTTGTTCTACTCAACGGTACCAATTATACTCAAGGTATACGTCACTTTCTCTAGCGAAGAAAATTCATGATTTTTCAGGGAAAAAAAATTACACAAGTGTGCATTTGATTGTTACAGATATGTGGTGCAACCATGCTTAATCTCTCACTACTGACCTCAGACATGTGGGCTGTTCTAATCCGTATTTTTGCTTACCATGAGAAGGTACGAGCACATGGATTCCTTTCTCTATTCGCTTAACGCATTTGCCATTCATAAATTGATCTGACGGAAGCAAACTCTGCCCAATGCAGGTTGATTGGATGTACTTCGTTGCTTTTGCTGGCACAGCAACTGGCCTTGTCATCTACTCATACAGGTACTGTACATTTCCAGTTTCTATTGGCCCCGAACATGGATAGGTACAAGTAGCTATTTGCTGCATTGGTGTTACTACTCAAAAACTTAAACTGCTGCAAGCAGGGGCTCAAAGCAGATTTCCGAAGAGACAGCACAGGATACACAGGCCATGGATGAGGAGGCTGCAACGGCAAACAGCACAGCACAAGTTCCTGGTGTCGGAGATGATGGGCCAGCCTCCAACAAGGACTTTTCAGTAGCTGCCACTGCTTCAAGGTAGTAGGCAACCGTGTGCCAAACTAGACCTGCAAGAACATGTATGCAGTGGTGTTTAGTGTACACGGTTGGACAAGCCTTTGGTTGTGAGTGTGATATTTTGCTATCAAATGTGAGAAAAGGGGTTACGAGCTAGGAGAAGTAAATTGTATAATATGCTTCCTTGTTCTATATATTTATGTATACGAAATGGAAATGTATTTATTAATAGTGTATAGATTAAAAAAAACAACTATTGTGACATACAACACATGTCTTGCAGGGAGTCCGGATTGAAGCTTAGGAAAATTCAGATCCAATCCATACATTCATAATTCAGTTTATTTGCAGCAACAAACTTTTCAAAAAGAGGTAAAATATTTTCTTTTAACAGCCATCTATATAGACCATATAAAGTAATTTTAACTCCAGTTCATACATAACCAATTTCTCTAGCATATGAACCCAAATGACTCTTTGATGCTTGTGGACACTGGTAAAGAGTAAATGACCAAAGAAGCCACCTTGTTCAAGCTCATGGTGATAACCACTTCTCTTACTGGAATAAGAATCAACGGTCCATTCTTTCCGCTCTTGATCAAGCGCTTGATAATTGATTTACTCGTCATCTTCACCGTCTTCATGCATTCTAAGATCAGTTTGCGTTTGCCTCTTGTATGTGCCACCTCTCTTGAATCAATGAACAAGCTTCTTCGTAGTCAGACCAGAACTGTCATTGAGAGTTCACAGATACAAGAGATGATATAAGGAGTCGATCAAGGCTAATCATATGGGATGACCGATGACACAAGTTGTTGAGTTGTGCTGAAAAATGACCAGCGAACTGTCCAGATAAGTAGTATGGATGGTTCACCATTATGGATTTGCAATTAGCATTTGCAAGACAAATTCTGGTGAGTCTATGGAGTAAGTTTCCAGTCTGACTTGCGAACGGTCTACAATTATGTTTTCAGAACAGCCCGAGAAGAAGTATATGCAAGCAACACCCGAGCAATATAACCCACACAAGATTAGGGGCTACATACTTCAATATAGATACTTGTTACTGAGATAGCATTGGTTTTGGATGTAGAATAATCTTCCTCAAACTTGACTCGATTTTGATATGTAATTTGAAATCATTCTCCAACAATGAGCCAAGCGTCCAATGCCACTAAAAGTACCCATTAAACAATTCAAGCAATTTGTGGTACCCAAACCGAGTTGGGTCCTTGCATGTTAGTCACATCATATTTATGCACCAAATAAAACAGCCTTTGTATGAAATTTAGAAGAACTACCAATCTTAGCATTAATAGTACCATCGCTATCCATCCAAAGCAAACCATAGGAGCATTATCCATTTCTCGGTAATTTTAGCAAGTTGGATGCCGGACTCTATGAGTTTTCTTCATTTCTTGCTTCTTGGTTTGCCTGTATTTACCATCTCATCAATCTTACTAGGACAGAGAGGCAGAGTGTCCCATTTCCGTGCAGGCATGCACTTGAAGCACTTGATGTGAGCAAAATTTCTCTTCTTTTCTTCTTTCTTGCTCATGTTCTTTGCATCATGATGTTTCTTTTGATGCCTTCTAGGCTTCTACTGTGACTTATTATTCAGCTATTTTCAGATATTTTCCTTCCTCTTGGTGTGAAAACTGATAAAGCAATCCGATACTAGAAGATAATGCCATGATTCGTACTAGCGCTAGTGTCATAAGGAAGCACATATTCTGGATTTGGGATGAGCACTAGTGCCATACTGCCATATGGCCCATGAGTCTTACTACACTAATGCTAGCGCCTTCATGCCATGATTCTTGCTAGAGCTACCATGGTATCAGAATTTGCGTTTCCTTATGAAATGCAGTGTTCTTCTGTGCGTCCCGGTGTTATGGACGAATTAACATGCTCATCAAAATCCATCATACTTTTGAAATTATGATCGATTTCATTATTCTTTTACTATGCTCCAGAGTTGGAAGGGACAATGAATATGACCCTAGACTTCAAAAGAAATGCCTGGCAAGGATACATCGTACAAGGGACATTAGTGCAATACCCTTGTTGCCTGCAGGGATTTACAGTGTGGAGATAAACAATACAATCACCAGAATTTTGTTTCATCTTCTCTTCAGGGGGAAAGGCCAAAATAACAGTCCTCCTGAAGAGATTGCGATGACATCTACAGGGCAACCCAATTAGGTGCCAACGTCTACCACTTTGGATTTTGACACGCAACGCCACTCTGACTTCTCGCTCACACCGAGCCATTTCTTGAGAAGCTTGAATACATTCTCATCAGACAGCAGGCCACGGTGGTCGGCCTCGACGCCAACTCTTTCTTTCGCAGAGAACCCATCAGCCTGTCAACACTCATATGTGGTGAGTACACGTAAACCTGCTTCTGTGACTGATCAGTGATCGCTGATGAAGTCAAGCAAGAGATATGCCATTATAAAGCCTCCTCCAAATGAACTAAAAGGCATTAAAAAAGTATCTAAAACTACAATGGACCGGTGTGTATATTGCATTATTGCTAGATATGTCCAACCTTCAGTGAAAAACCATTTCTAGGCGAAAAGATTTCCACTTCACAATATTTTGGTCTGGCATTTGAACAGGATTGTGTTGAACTAGGTTTCTTTAACAAAACTATGAATACAATGCATAGCATATACCACGCGATTACAAAAGGATGGTTCATCTTACCAGTGCCGATTCTGTGGGAACTGTGCCATCTCCATCCACGTAAGTGTATGCCGGCTGAAAAGGGGATGCCCATGTGTCATATTCCCGTGAAAAGTTTACAACCAGAACCTGACGAATTTCAAGCAAGAGGGTACAGTACCACTGTGTGACACACTTCTGACAAATCTCCAATTGGGGAGCTTTCTGAGCCATAGCTGTGGAAAATATCAGTAATATACTTAGAGCCAGAGGAACAAAATCACATATTTCAACTGTCAGACTCGTCGCTAGAGTATTTTCACTAAAACAAATCTTGAAGTATCCTCACTGAAAAAGGTACTCTGGATACAAGTCACAACTCCAGCTGTGGAGATAGAAAATGTGAATCTCTTTGGACAAACGATTGACAAGGAACTGCCTCTTTTTTTTTTTTTTGAAAACATGGCAGGAGCTCTACCTCTCATTTTTATTGAGCATAATTCATGTTGGCTATTTGTATTGAACCATCTCAATCAGATCCTAGAGTTTCTCTACCTTGAACTTTATACATTGATAACCTATAAGCCTACAGATAGTTAAAAATAAGAATGATGAATATCAGAATAAAAATCTAGAGCAGAAAGGAAAACTACATGATGTGAGTATCAACTGCCATCATAAATTTATAATACTCACCATACATCGTATGGAGTTTCATAAGATGTCCCACATATATTGTAAAAGCTCACAGTATCTGGTAATTCAGCATTGTCTAGGATTTGGCGGGTCTTGGTGGCCCATTTGAAGATTGACATATTGAATGGCAGTGCTACTTTCTTTCCGTTATACGTGAGCTACAGATACATGAGAAAATGGAACGATCAGGTGTCAGTGGATTAAAGAGTTACTCATACTAGGAGTCTTGGAGACATGCATAGTCACGCACATGGATCTCAGTGCCTATGCTGTGTGGGATTCTTAACTTTACCAAAGTCACTTTGCATTCATAATATATGTAATAACAAATGCATCAGAAATGTAATATGATAAAAGAAAACATTGTCATAATAGAATCCACCTCATTATTCCTTAAAGCTTCTTCAAACAAGGACACACAATCAGTTGCTTGATATTGAACTAGCTCCACAATTCCATCCTTTTCAGGGTTCTTACGCCAAACCTGAATAATTGGTTTTTTCTTCCACTTGAATTCTGGATTTGGTAACATTTCATAGATTGATGGGCATTCAACAAGCTGCATATAATCAGAACATATTTAAAAGGAGAGGTAAATACAACTGCAAGTTTGTAGTCTTATAGAGGCTGTTGGCTATTAGAACATGGTGAAGAAATTGTTCGAAAAATCATGGTAAAGAAATACCAGTTGGTGCATTGCCCATCTAGATACAAAAAAGAAGCTCTCAAAACCATAAACAAATTGCAATCCAGTAAGTAGAGAATCATTGATGCATCCCGGGGCACCTGCAAGATAAAGTTACTAATATAAAACACATATTCTGTCAAAGGAATAGCAATAATAGAATAAATCAATTGAAATGTCCAATACCTTGAAATGGACATGCAATGCAAATCCATTTGTTTACATACTTAGCAAATACCTAGAAAATGGGAAAAATTACTATATGGATGTTTATGCATAAGCAAAAAGCATAGCAAACATGAAAACTCACATCATGATTCATAGACATGAAGCAGCGTACTAGCAATCCACCCATAGAATGAGAGATTAAATTAACTTTTTTCCCTCCAGAGGTCTTATAAGCTGTCTCAAGTTTTGCTCTCAAACCAGTCATCGCTTTGTCTATCCTGCCAGATAAAACCACTGTTACAGCATCTTGTGCTTGCACGACAGGTCGACAGTGAACTGTCGGCCCACTCAATATTGATGTTACCAATTCAACACACAACAGCATGCAAAGGGATCCATATATAGGAAAGTACCTGTTGCTTTGGCGAAAATCATAACCATATCCAAATAGAGTGGTCCCTTTCTCGTATCCACAATTTATGAGCATATCAATCATATCATGGAAGTGATACACCATAGAAAGATGGAGAAGTTCTACAAACTGAAGCATGAAAGAAAAGGAAGAAAACATATCACTGAAAATTTATGCTCTTCAGGGGCAGATCACATAAAGTTCAAGATTCTATGTGATTCTGGCCATCAATTCTCACAGAGAAATAAAGATACTATATCAATCATTTAAGTCAGTCACAGTACAAAGAAAAACTATATAGCAGCTGTATCGATTCCATCAGTTGCTCAAACGTGCTCATGTATACTTCATGGGTAAGGCATGACTAGCATTGTCTCACTACTCTAGTTGTTGTTGCCAGTACTCCACATAAGCCCACATATGCTGCATAGATTAGATGTCCTCAATTCCCAGGGTATGTGTCTCTGGGAAGTTTACTAACACTCTGGGCACCAAAAGCATGATTGAATGCACTACAGATTCCAAAAGAGGGAAAAAAAGTTTCATAAAGTTCATTGATTGCTAGCCCTAATTAATCCTATTAATTTAGGCATTAATACCCAAAAAAAATCAGATTTAATTATCTATCTTTGTCTGTCTTCCTGTCTTCTCAACAAGGAGAAAAGACGAAAAGGTGGGAGTGATAACAATCACTAGTCCCTCTATATGGCCGTTTCATCATGTCCCCTTACTATTCTCAACAATTCTCAATGACCGAGTGCGTGGCGAGTCACTTCAAATATCGCAAGCCACCGGTCTCAAAAAAGAAGATACTATGCTTAGAAACCAAGAAAAGGCCGTTTTTAATCCCTCCGACTAAACTAATCACCCAAAATAACAAGCCTGCAGTTGAACCAACACACAGAAGCTCACCCAGGAAGGATCAAGAATGTCGATGGCGAAGAGGCCGTGGTCGTCCTCCGGCACGACAATCTCCAAATCGTCGTCCAACGGCTCCACATACCCTGCGGAGAAACAAGCAACCAGAAGCAGTCTTTAGACAAGCACTCCCCAACTCAGCTGGGCCGTTCCATCGAACACCTGAGTGGGCACCCCCGTCCCCATATAGCATAGCAACGAAGCAGTAGCACGGCTGGATGAGGCAAGGCAAGGCAGGGCAACCGACCTGTGTCGGCGTTGTAGAGCGACCAGAGATACTTCTTGAAGTAGAGGTTGGCCAACAGGATGCGCACCCAGACCCGGAGGTCGAACTTGGGGTTGGACCGGCGGCGCGCGTTCAGCACGGAGCCGCCCATCCCGGACACCAGCAGCACCGGCTCCCGGCCTCCCTCGTCGTCATCTTCCCCAACCCGCCTGCCTCGGCGGCGCCCGCGGTGGGGGCGAGGGCGGCGGCGGCGGCGGAGCACGCGGACGCGGAGTCGGAGCGCCGCGCCGAGCATGGTGGCGCACTGGCAGCGGCGAGGCGGGCATGCCGGGCGAGCGCGGGGTGCAGTGCGGGCGCGGTATTAATGGGCGGGCCGCGGGCGACGAGGGGCGCAGGAGGCTTCTCGACTCTCGAGCCGTCGCGTCGAGCGAGAGAGCAGCCGTGGACCCTCTGCCTGGTTCGGGCTGGGCGCGAGCGCGACGAGACGAGAGGGGTCGGTGGAATGACCGGTGGGGAGAGGTGAGCGATCGCGTCCGTTGGTTTGGGCGATCCGGCGCTGGGACTCGGGCGTCCGAGCGCACTGTCTGACATTCTGACCCAGCGTTGGTGTCTGTCCGGATCGGAAAGGTATATTCTGTTTTCCTGTAACACTCCCGTGGGCCCACTGGACACCACACCCGGGGCGACGTGGCGTGGCAGGGTGAGCCACTGACCGGTCAAGGTGAGCGTTGCTCCGCCAGCTCTCTTTCGTCTTCTTTTTCTAGGCCGCTGCTGAGTAGGCGTTTCTTGGGATGGGAGTGCTACTAGCAGCGATTCACACGGTGAGCCGGTGAGGCGATCATAGGACAACGACTCGTCCGTCTACCTGGCCAACACCCTCAGTTGAGTCTAAACCAACGCGGACGAGGGATGAGCTTAATAAGAAAGAGAAACAGTTCTCTTCCTCTTCCCCCGTTTACAGAATATTTCCTTTCCTTTCTTTTCTTCAAAATTATGTTTACTTTAGCTTTGCCATAAGTTAAATTTCTCTAATTTTAATTTGAAGTTGTGAAATACTCGCTACATACATAGTCAAGTGTAACATGAGTTATAAGTGGACGTTGACCATCTCAAACCTTTGCCAATTTCCTTATGGAAGTGGAAAGATATCTCTATAAATTTCATCACTAGATTATGAAGAGCCTCATCCGAGCATAACTCAATATGGGTAACTATAGGTTGACTTATAAAGTCCGCCCATTTCTAACCCATCAAGACTACCTACTCCTTACTTTAATATGTCAAAGCATATCTTGTTGAGATCGTGTTTACCATGGTGCACCAAAGACCATAGTCGGTGTCTAATTAAAGAGCCATAGTTCATGACAACTTTTGGGACACGCTTCGTGAATTGTGATGCCTTGAGTACAATACTTAACTTTAGAACCGCATATCACCCCAAAACAAGAGGTCAAACAGAAAGAGTAATAAGTTGAATTTTGTAAGACAAGTAAAGGGCACGTGTGATTATTTATGCAAAAATTAGGACATTTACTTCGCTTTGTTGAATTCATCTGCAACAACTGCTATCAATCGAGCGTAAAAATGTTACCTTTCGAAGCTCTCTATGGGCCAAGTTGCTAGACTCCTTTGAATTGAACTTGTATAAAACGGGGAGAGCGAAGTCATTTCAGTCACAATCTTGTGAAGGATTCTGAAGAGAAAGTGAAACAAGTACTCAACTTCCTAGTTGCCGCACAAGAAAGATACAAATTCTAAGTTGGAGATAACGTGTATTAGAAGGTTACACCATTTAAGGGAACCCAAATGTTCCAAGAGAAGATAAATTTGAGACCTTAATATGTTGAACCACTAGGTAAATGTCCGTGCGTTGCAACGGGAACACATAATACCACGATAACATATGTATGAGCGTGTGTTATATTGTTATCTAAAATAGATACCGCAATCATAATGTTCCAATCAATATTACACTTATGTACGAGCAAATTTTGTGAGCTCATTTGTTTGAACAAGAACATATGTCGTGCTGTTTGGGTAATTTGCAGTGAGTTTGTTTGGTTTTAGTCCATCCATTTTAGTTGGAATTTTGAGCTTTTTGTACTGCCTGATGATCGCCAATTCAATTCTCATCCTACCATACAAACCACATTTCATTTCTTTTGCCCACAAAATTTGCTCGTACGTAAGTGTAATATTGATCGGAACATTATGATTGTGGTATCTATTTTAGATAACAGTATAACATACGCTCATACATATGTTATCGTGGTATTATGTGTTTCCGTTGGAACGCATGGGCATTTACCTATGAAAATATAGATATTCCTTCAGTCTTAAAGCTTGGAACACAGGATCAGACTTGTAACAAAGAAAACTATATATGAAAATATAAATATTCCTTCAGTCTTAAAGCTGGTAACATAGTAGAGATTTGTTGGACATTATTTGGAAACATAATATGTACAAGAGAAAACTTACTCGATTAATTTAGGCTTCAACTTTTTCCTGTCAAATGGGATTATTTTTATGCACCAGTTTTGCACAAAAAAATCAATTTACGAGCCTTAACTCCTGCAAAGGAAACCAACAAACTGATGGTTATTCAGTTTAGATGTGCTTGCGAACACCATGGGCTATAGGAAACAATACTTATAATTGTTTTTGGTGATATAAACTATAAAAAGAAATTTACGCTTCCATTAATAAAATGTGTCACTGATACTAAAAAGCCAATGTTGGTTGAAAACATCATCATCAAATTTCAAGTAGCAGTCCCTTTTCAGTATTCTCAAATAGGAGCTAATATTACCATCTTCTTGCAACCAACATAAATGTTGCAACCAAGATCCAGAAACCAACTACTTCCACTTCCAGCATGGACTAACTTACAGTTACAGAATGTTTTATCTAGTATAAGCTTAGTAATCAGGGGAGAAGTACATAATTATTTATTTCTAGAAGAAACGGTAATGACTACACCTATTTCTTGTTCCCGATGATCTGGGTGACACATCAGGCGGAGATGATCTGCATACAGTTATAGGTAATTTGATCCTCCTTGTTGCTGAAGGAACTGAGTTTGAGCCCAGCGAAGCAGCTGGATATCGCCCATCATAATTTGTATCCATACTGACAGGTGAAGTGCAATCTCGAGAGCCTTGGGATCTTTGAATGTGACGTAGGCAGTCCTCCCCGACGCCACTGTATCGCTTACAACCACCAACCAGAGGCAAAAATCACAATGCAGTTCAAAATACAAATCGAAAAGGGGGAAAAGCACAACTAAAACATAAAAAACAAGAGGCAGAACAAATAGAGAAAGAAATCAAGAGGCTCTCACAATCTGATTCGACATGCTTGATTTGGCCGGAAAAGGAGAAGAACTCACGCGCACCTCTCGCTCAGGCGCCAGATCTGAGATGTTCCGCACCCGCACCGTCATTCCTGAAGAGGAAATTGCAATTGACATCAGAATTGCTTTACTCTGTCACCGAAGTTCCTGAAGCAGACTTCTACAAAAGTGAGGATTTCTTCTCTGCAAAACATGGTAGAAGCAACTTTCACGTCAAAATATGTGCACTTTTTTGTGGTGCTGAAGGAGGCTTCTCGCTCAGCACTTACATGAATCTGGGGCTGATAAATCCACCGTATTCATTCTGAATGACCTAAGGAAGATCGAAATGATAGATGGTGGCATGAGGCTGAATCCCTACAGACATGACAGTAAGAATGGAGCCAGTTTGTTCAGGAATAAAAGGACAGCAAGTCGTTTTTTTTTTAGGGAAAGATTAAGAAGCTATGACAACAAGTCAATAATGCTTGGAGTCACGGGTCAGTACTTCAATCTTACGACAAAGTAACAGTTGCATCGCCTTACCATGCGGTATCAGTGCATCTATAAGATTGTTGTAGTATTCAAAGCCTTTTGGGTTGATCTTTCCTCTTCCATCTACACAAGGAAATCATAATTTTGTTTGAATGCATACATTCATATGCAGAATTATTATTTTTTTGTAAAAAAGGGAAAACTTGCTACTGTAATTTTACCTACCTGGAATCAGCCTTGGCCAAGCAATGGAGAATAGGTAAGCATCTAAACACATCTCATGCATAAGCTTCACATATTCCTGACAAGAAAATATTTTTGATACTTGCCTTTTAAGATTATGCTGGTACTTCCTTAGACCTTGTAATGGTGATACGGCCTACTGTAATCATGTGGAATGATGCACCCTCATGAGTGAAGTGTCTCAATAATATATGTTTTACATAGCTATTGGACCAGCATTCTAGACTTTTTTGTTAATACGCAGTACCTAATTTTCTATCAGACTACCATCTTTTATTGTATCTACTAATAATTTGACATTTATATTGGTAAAAGGGAAGCAATCTACAATGACATGGACAACAAACATCTGACCTGATCAACCTTGACCCCTTCAGTAATCATGGTGTAAAGCTGCATTCCAAAAAAAATCTGCATGGTGCACAAATATAATATTGAGATTAGATTTACATACCAAATCAACCATTGAAAGCTCTAGTTTGGTTTTGGTGAATTGATGAAATCCTAAGTGCTAACCTAGTTTATCAAGTGATCATGAGATAGGTAGCACACTCCAAGTGGTGAAGCAAATGAAGATCATAGCATGATAAAGATGATGGCATGGTGATGATCAAGTGCTTCGACTTGGAAAGAAGAAAGAGAAAAACAAAAAGCTCAAGGCAAAGGTATAATTTGTAAGAGCTATTTTGTTTTAGTGATCAAGACACTTAGAGAGTGTGATCACATTTAGGATTGATAGCCGTACTATTAAGAGGGGTGAAACTCGTATCGAAATGTGGTTATCAAAGTGCCACTAGATGCTCTAACTCATTGCATATGCATTTAGGATCTAGTGGAGTGCTAACACCCTTGAAAATGTTTGTGAAAATATGCTAACACTTGTGCACAAGGTGATACACTTGGTGGTGTTGGCACATTTACAAAGGAGGTGGTGTTTTGTGGTTGAGATGGGTTTGGGTCCTCCCTCCCGCCGAGCTTGCGAGAAGGTGATTCAGCGCTTCGAGAAAATGGAATGCCTATTTTCTATTGCGCCGGATACAAATTCTTGTGGTTGGCACATTGGAGCAAGGGTGGAGAAGATAGAAGTGAGAACAGAGTGAAGCCGGCTGTCGGTCCGAAGGATCGGACGCCGACCGCTCGCGTCGTCGCGTTGACTGTCTTGGGTCTGATGGTTAGGGTTTACCAACGGACACTGGTCGTGTCCGGTCGAGGTGGGACGGACG